GACAAATTTACACTACAAAAGCGTGCAAAAAATTAAAAAATGTAAAATGTAAAATTACACGCGAATGATCTATCAGGCAGCCCTGTGCACAACCGCTGCCGCAGCGGATCGATCCAGTTTTGATGAAGCAGCCTCGCAATTCCTGTCCGGTTCTCGCCTCAGTGAGGTAGTCTGTGTGGAATTGTTCGCAGGCAGTGCCAGGCTCACTTCTTCCTTGGGAGGTGAGGGGTTTGATTCCTTTGGGGTAGACCATGTAGTCTCTAAGCAGGCGTCCGGGTCTATTCTTCAACTAGACTTAAACGATCCGCAAAGTGTTGAGCACTTGTGGAGGATCATTCGTGATCCTGCTGTAAAGTACATCCACTGCGCGCCCCCATGTGGGACCGGTACAATCTGTTCACGCGAGGTGAGGTCCCCATTTGCAAGTCTTTCAAGTACCTCGGTGTAATCTTGTCTTATCGCAGCTATGAAGATCAGACCATTGCCCCCAGGTTGGATCTGGCACAGTCACATCGAAACCGTCTTGCGAGGGTCTTGCAGGGCAGAGGGGGGCTCGGACTTTCCCAGCGCAGAAGAATTTGGCTTACATGTGTGCAGACCTCGATCTCAGGTCTATGGATTATGTGCGACTGGCATCACGTCCAAAGGTCTCCAGCAACTACACGTGCAATCCATGAAGCGCATTCGGGCCTTTGCAAAGTCTCCTCGGCGCATCACGCAGGAGTCAGATGCAGATCTTCTGCGACGTTTGGAGGTACCGCATCCCTTGGATCACCTGCTCAAGCAAGTGGATAACATGCTTGCAAGACATTCTGATCAAGCCAGGCTGAAGTGCTACAAATGGATGCTGTTCTTGGGCGTCTTCGCAGACTCAGGTTCGATCTGCTCAGCGTGCAAGAGTCAAGGAGAGTTGGGCCCAGGGATGAGAGTCCCCCAGTACTTTGTGAGCTCCCTACCGCCGCCCCGCAGTTCACATGTCAAGTGTGCGGGCAAGCCTTTCCAACGCTACATCAGCTCAAAACTCACGAAGGCCGTCTGCATAAGATCACCGCTCCGCAGAGGCAGCTGGGCAACAAAGCGGACTTTTCCCTGGATGGGTTGCCGACCTGCAGGCTGTGCCTGCAAAAGTTCACCAGATGGAGAGGCCTGCAACGTCACATCAGGGAAAATCGCTGCCCGAAGCTTCGTGCAGAACCTTAGGATTCAGTCTGCGGCAGGTGAGGAAGCGCTGAGCTCCGTAAACGAGCCTGGGGAAGACAAAACTCAGAAGGCGTGGCGAGCTCAAGCCGAGGTGTCGGGAAGCATTCTTCAGCCGGTGATCACGTGGGCGTCCGTGCTTGCTCTACCCGCGCCAAGGAGATGGGAGAAGATTGTGAAGCTGCCAGACGTAGCTGAGCGCCTGAAGCATCACTGCGGCCTCTGCGATCAGTGGGTGGCAAAGGCTAACGGCGTGAGAAAGCATTATCAGGTTGTGCACTCCATGGAATGGCAACTGCACGAGCCGACCGTCAAGCACTGGGCTCGAAGTTGGTCAAGGGTAATAATACGGCCCTGTCCAGTGTGTGGGGTAGAGGTTGTGGATGTGCGACAGCATGCAGGCTCATGTGTTGTGATGTTCCAGGCTGCTATGATTCAGTTGAGTCTGGCACGCCAATGCCCAGGAGATGGAAGATTTCTTCAAGCTCATGCCGGGGATTCAGGCAATGGAGGACGTGGAGGAGCCACCGTCAACGGTGCCCAACAAGAAGAGGAAGCTGGAGGAGACGGGAAAAAAGGGGCCCCCAAAGGGCAAGGGCAAGGGCAAAAGAAAGCAACATCGAGGTCAGTCAGCCAGGGACTTCGAAAATTCTTCGGACCTGCGCGGGCTGGTCAAGCACCTTGGCCACATGGTTCTCAGACAAGCGGAGGCCCTCAATCGACTGGAGTACGACACTTGCTTTCTCCTCATGCTGGAGACCAAGCCGCATCCGGGGACAGTGATTCCAAGTCTCTTCAAGGTAGCCACCAGCTGGCGCAAGCAGAAGGAGGAGAATCCTGCGGCACTGCAGCAGTCTCTGAGGCAGGTCATGTTGACGTGCTTGATCAGGGAGGTTCAGGCCCGGGCGGAGCTCACGCTGAAAACGCCGGGCGCGAAGAAGGAGGCGGAGCGGTTGGGCTTCTTGGAAGGGGAGGCCTGGGTTTACCAAACGTGGGATCCGGAGAAGCAGCACAACGTGAGGGACACAACGCGGAAGCCGATGCCATTGGTGGACTTCAATGCGCAAGCGGAGAGGATGCTCAAGTACGTCCAGGGGACGGGGCTGACGCGCTTTCAGGCTCTCAAGACTATCACCTCGGATCTAGAAGGCCAGCAGATCCCCTTCCTGTTGGACGTCTCTCTCAGGGACTCGTACCTTCACGACGTGCTCTTAGCATGGACTCAGTTGTCGGTGTTCAGCCTCGTGGGAGGAAGGATCCGGAGATCGCGCATCAAGCAGAGCCAGCAACAGGAGCAGCTCTACCGGATGCTTCGCAATCTTTGACCTGGATCACACGTGCCGCCCTTGGAAATACTGGGAGTTTTTGCTACGCCAATTCTATCTTTCTTGCGATCGCAGTTACATGGGATGAGTCATGTGGAGATAGTTTGTGCCGGCTGATTCGAAAAATCCAGCGCTCCTCGGGCAACCTGTTGCATCTCTGCAAACAAGGCGAGTGGCGTGAGCTTACCCTGCAGTGGCAAGACCCTCAGAGACAACGTGACGCTGCCGAGTTCCTGTTGCATCTTGTCCAGGTTGATGCTGCGCTTTGCCATCTATCTTCATGGAAGGTCATTAACAGCACTCTTTCGCGCATGGAGGGAATTCCTAGAGATCTTGGTGGCAGGGGATGCATATTGGTTCCCACACGCAATGCGGCGGGTGTTTCATATCGCACCCTTCAGGACTGTGTTCAGGCGTGGCATGAGCAGATGCTTCTACATGTGTTGGATGCAGGAGCCACTTATGCTGTGATTCAGTTGGACCGCTTTATCAGGCGTGGTCCGTTCGTGCGCAAGGATCTCACGCCAATCTCTCACAATGAGGGCAGGCTTCTACTCCCAGTGCTTGGCGATGATGATGATTTCAGGTGGTGCCCCTATGGTGTTAAATCCATCGTGCTACACATTGGTCCCACACCCGTGTCAGGACATTATCGGATGGCCTACTTCGATGCAGGGGAAATGAGCATCACCGATGACAATCGGCCGCTGTTCTTTCTGCGCAGGGAGTGAGCTGAGCTGTGGCCACACAAAACAGCTTTTGTTCAAGCGGCTAGGGGAATAAGCTGCTTCCATGTTTCATGATGTTGCCTTTGATGCTGAGGGTGTACCTATTGTGCCACAGGGCGTAGATGAGGACATTTGGCGACTGGAACTCCCGTCCATTTTGGGCATTGCGTGGAGTGGCGGCAGGTTGCTGAATGATGTCTCTGGTGATGAGCCCTCGGAACACTGGGAAGGTGATGAGTCGGGGACACATGCGTCTTCATGCTGCTCTGCTGATTCCATGCTCTCTGAAGCCGAGGAATTTCTGCGTAGCCATGTTGTCGGTGAGAATGTTATTTGGGGTTCTCAGCTTGCTTTGCCTGGGGAGTACTGGAGTCTACCTCCTGAGGGTCATACATTTGTCCTGGATGTGCCTCCGCTTTTGGGCGCTCAGCTGCCATCCCATCCTGCTGAGCTACTGGCGTATAGACTCCTCCATAGGGGCTCCTTGCATTCCATGCACTTCGCACAGCTTATAGATGTTCTACCGGATTCTCGGTGTCATGGTGGATCCGCAAGGCAGAAAGCAACTCTCCTTTGCAGTAGGTGCGTACGCATTGGGAGGGCTTCATGGCATCATGCATGCAACGATGGATTTTCCGTGGGTAACCAGACTACTTGTGGCGGCAGTACGGGGCTGCTGCCACAACCAGGTCTTCAGTGCAGTCGCGCTGCGTTGTAATCAGCGATGTCACCGCATGTTGATTTGCATAATGCGGATGGCAGGCCAAACCTTTTGGTTCCTTGCACGCGGTGGTGTGGTGGTGGCTTGTGGGTCTCAGACAACAAACGTGCCCGTAGGCTTTCAGTGGACTCAGAGACCGGCCGCATCATCCACATCGCACAGCCGTACATAATCATGAATCCACATGTTCTTCATGCTACAATGGAGTGGGCTGGAAATCGTGTGCTGTTGGTTGCGTATGCTGTGGCGGATCCTCACAAGTGGCTGGCATCGGATAGACAGAAGCTCAGTGACCTGGGCTTCTCGGTTCAGTACTGATGTAGCTTGCTATGGGGCACTCAATTGCTGCACAGATGGATGGTACGCTCATCTTTGGCTGCGCAGAGGCATGGTTTCTTCTGGTCCCTAGGCTGGACTGCCAATGCTGGGATGTGCTGCTCTCTCACTGATGGGCTCATCATGGTATGTGGCTGCTGAGTGTTTCTCTGACTGGGTGCAATGTTTCGTATGTTCTGGCTGCTGCAACCTGTACATCCTTGCTTCGAATCCGCGCTACTCTGATATGGCTGCTAAAGCTAATGGCTCTCATAAACTGCTCTTGGAGCTGTACTGAGTGTGCTGAGTGC